CTGGAGATCACACAGCACAGATCTGTTCCCTCTTCCTCTGCAATCAATCAATATCAAGACAAAACATCAGGGGATACGATCTCAAAGTAAAAGGGATAGATCTGTCAAGGTTTAAAAGTACTTCATTTTTAAAAGTAAGGTGTGCAATTTATGCACCAAGTAGAATTGCAGTTCTCTCAGACACTCCTACCACCCCTGGACAAACAGGTGTGGTCCCATCCCAAACTCACACTATTGGTTAACCCAGAAACTAACATGTTGGACCACTCGAACAAAAAAAAACAATATTTTGAAAGGACCAGATTCTTTGGAAAGTTTAATTTAGTTGAAACATGCTTGACCTACCTGTTATAAGAACATTTGTGTTGTCCTTTTCAAGACATTCAACCACCTCTACTGCTTTTTGGAGACATTGTCTGTTGAGGACATTAAATGCAGCTAGATAATAGTTTCATAGAATCTAATTAATGATTATGAACAGGAATGCAAATAGTAGTATTTTATTAATGCAAGCTGACCTAATAATTTCTAGCCATCCTGAGCTTTCAAGGGAAGAGAACCATTTCACATCTGACAACCAAAAATCGGTTGAATTTTCTAAGAGAAAAATAAAAAACATTAAACAGTGATATCCATCCTTTCATTTAATATTTGAGGATTTTTGTTTCACCTTTTCCTGTGAAAGAGATGTGTATATACTGTGACTCACCGATAAGAAAGAATTGTTTGAACTTGTTATATGACTGCTGGATGTCTTGGATATTAGGAAGTGATTCTGAGAGGTCCTCTGTTTTTACAGAGTAAAGGTAATTATGTGCAACTGCATTTATCATTCTGAGAAAAAAAAAAGAAAGAAAAGAACTTGTCAATGTGAAGGTACTATTGACAGTCAATACTATTGACAGTTTTTGTTTGTTTTTGCTGTGGACACCATATTACTAGGGCTGGGTGTCGATTCAGATGTCCCGATTCGATTCGATTTCGATTCGCAAGCTCTCGATTCGATTCGATTCGATTCTCGATTTTTGATTACATTCAGTGAATATAGTTTTGATACAAATGCTATTGATATTTCTAAAAAATGAACAGTAAACATCAGTTTACAAATGGTGAATTAATAAAAAGAAATTAAGAACCACGTGCCTGTATTTTAAACCTATTCTTTTTTTTTGTATAGGGTCCTTTTTAAACAATAGTAGGGCCCTATAAAATGTTCTTAATTTTTCTGGTAATCAGATGAAGGCATAAAACATTAATTTAATTTATCCTAATCAAATGAAAATTAAACCCTTTTATTTTTTTGGCAAACAAAGTGCTGCACAACAGAGGTTTACTGTTAAAATTAAAAAGAAAACAGATGTGATTATTCCTTTAAAAATAAAGATTTATTAATATTTATTAGCAGTAGTAGCATTGAGTCTTAAGTAGTAATAGCTAAATAGTAATATATTCTGACAGTTTAACGTTAAACTAAACTTTTATTTTGACGGGTTGCCGTGAAGAATTTGCAGCTGCTGTGTATGTGATATGACGGTAGTTTTCTCAAATGAAACGGTAAAATGCTAATGAAGTGACTCTCAGAGCAGCTGGAATGACATTCGTGTTCATATCATCATATAGTGAGACGGCAGAAGCTGAAAACACCGCGAGCGTCATCCGCGCTTTAGTATGTGTGTAGTAAACAAAACAGTGCGCCGCGCCATCCGCCCTTCATTCATTGCGGAAATCATGGCACCTTGTGCGTGATATCAAATGCTTCCGCAGATTTATAGTATTACTATAGCATTTCACCTGAGCATTGCGAATCACGCGTATGGTATGGCCATGATAAGCACTGAATGAATGACAGGCTTTCTGTTGCAACATCGCGCAAGGTAAATAAGGGTGACATCTAGTGGAGAAGACTAATGATAAGATTCACGTTAATCAGATCTTGTTTTAAATGTGTGCTGAAATAAATACAGGAAAAGATCGATTCGCGGCTTTTGAGAATCGATATCGAATCAACGTCATTTAAAAAAACAATTAATCGAAAAATTGATTTTTTTTTTGCCCAGCCCTACTTGGGATTGCATTTTCATCGTGATACCATGTGATAATTGTAGCAAAATGCAGTGTGAATTTCAAAATGCATTCACAGAACATGCCACAGCCAAAGTGAGATAACTTAATATTAAAAATCACGGGCATCAATCGTGGTGTCCGGTGGCTGTAAACAGTGAGAGCTCTTGTGGCAGGTGCGTGACGTTTAGGTGCCATGGAACACGCGCTATATTACGGATTAAAAGAGAGGAACAAAATAATATAAGGTGGTAAATAAGTGTAATGTTAGAATTGCACTATTTACTTCCGTGCATCACTCGGCGTGCAGAGTGAGATGTGCGACGCACCTGGAACGCTTAGGTGCTCGGGGACACGCGATCCATTATAGGAGAAGAATAAAGTATGGTAGCAAATAGGTAAAAGTGTAGAATTGCAGTGTCTGTTTGCGTGTGTGCATCAATCAGAGTGTAAACAGTGAGAGATGTTGAGGCAGGTGAAAAGCGTTTTGTTAATGGTGAATATTGACCTAATATTGACCTGATGTAATGATTGACAGGTTGGGGGCGTGATCGGCTCGGAATGCATCTTCACGCTGCCCTGTATCTTGGTCTCTCATTGGCTGTAGGTCATCGCCGATGTGTTTTTCAGTCAGAACTCATTTCACACAGCGTGATTGTGAATCGCCGACAGCTCCAGATATTTAGCATGCCAAATATTTCACGGGCGTCGGCGATTCCTTCAGATCGCGTCTTTGATAATTCACACTGCGTGATTGTCACTCGCGTGAACGAGCACCGATTTGCCGCTGATTTCGGGCATTTGTCAGCAATTTCGCAAAACCTGTCAGCGAGTGAAAAATCGGGCTAAAATCGTGCAGTGTGAACTCGGCATAAGTCTAAATGCATTTAGGAAAAACGGCATTTAAATTATAATTTTGCTAAATTTTTTGCTTGGACATGTTAAACATATCTAATCAATTTGGGTGATACAATTTAATTTTAATTTTGCTACTTATAAAGCGTTAAAATATGTTTTTAGTTTACATATTAAAACTAGTGTAGTAAATGGCAAATGTAAATTATATAATTTTCATTTTCATTTTGCACTAAATGTTGCACATATGTATGGGAAAATGTACATTTAAATACAGAAATGCATTGCCTTTTTACATATTGCATTGTCATTTTGCATATTACATTTCAAAATGAATTTTGCTACCCATATGCTTCCATAGCCTTGGAACTGAAGATATAGAATTCCAAGGCGTTCCATATATATATATAATATACAAAATTAAGATAAAAGTATCTCTTATACTTTTACCAGCCGGTTAAAAGTCATTGCAAAAATGGCTCAGAAAAGTAAAGTTAGTTCTGAGAAAATAACCATTTGTTTGCAGATGCCACTTGATTTGATATTTAATTTCTTATGTAATAAATTTATACATTACGCTTGGCTAAATGTGACTTATTTTTTGTGAAAAATGGTTTAATCCTTTAAATATGCTGCACAAATCAGATTTAATGTGGAATGTTCCTGATAATCTGAGAAGCACAGAGCTGAATTCATTGCGTAACCCTGCTGCTGGACGTAACCGCATCAGAAAATACTCCTCTTAAAGTCTGAAAGTTCAAGTATTTGAAATTGGGAAATATGACTTTCCTGCGCTGCACAAAAACAATGCCTAAACCCAAACGTAAATCTTTTGTGGTGGTTGAAAACTCATAAAAAAGGTTAAGAAGAAATATATATATTTTTTTGTAAAATAATATTGTGCAAATGGTACAAAAGCAGCATCTCTGACAAACCATTAAACCACGCTTGGTTGGTTCAAGGTGAATTGGTCAGGCTGTAATCTCTAGGTTTTCGTTGATAAACAGATTAATCTCTCAAATACTGTCAAGAAAGAAATATTGCAAGTTGTTCTCCTTGGTGTACTATACAACGTTTGGTGCTTTTAAATTGATCAAAAGTAACAGTAAAGACATTATAACGTTACAACAATGTCTATTTAAAATAAATGCTGTTTGATTAAACTTTTTGTTAATCAAAGAAACCTGAAAAATTTATCATTTTACACAATTTCCATTTTTCAGGGATTTTACAGTGCAATAACTATTTTATACTAACTATGCATCATAATTGTACAATGTAATTAATTTTTTTTATGTATTAGGATTAAGACATTTTGAAATTGCATTTGAAGTAATAGAGTTTTCCTTAATCAGTAATTAGGAAATGATCTTATCAGTAGGTGCCTGAGTCAGGAGTATAGTAGGTAATTTGGGGCAAACATAATAAATATTTTTATATAATAAATGTCAACTCGAAGCTTATTTATTGATTTTTTTTTTTTTTTGTTCAAAATATTGTTATCTGATGCCTTTGGTTAGCATCTTGATTAGCATCCTTCCATCAGGTTAGTGATAAACCTCCTACCCTAGGCTCTTTAAATTTACTCTAAAATCTCCACAAGCTCTTTCTTTTTAATTGATTAGTCTAGCTAGCGAGTGCCAACAGAACTCTCCACTGAAGTTCAGCTAGACTACTTTGCTAGCATTAGCGAACGCCTGCTAATAAAAGTTTTAGCGTCGCTGTTTTTGGCCAAGTGAGTGTCCCCATTGCTCTACGGTGATCCAAAGCGCTGGGCTTGGAGAGCCATAGTGTGTTGCCTCAGAAACCTCCAGGCGATGGGTCAGCAGGACCTGTGGAATGCCCGGCTTGGGTTTCCGGCTATTGTGCTCGGCCAGCACACTGGAGGTGAATAGCCCAACATTCCTCTGATGCCCCCCCACCCCACCCCACACACACATGCTTGTGCCACGCTCGAACTCTCAGTGATATGCTGGAGTGATATCCCACAGAAAATAGGCATGAAGTGTGGAGGTCCAACAACCCACTGTCTTCCTTGTGATTGTCCATTGACTGAAAGTTGGATTCCCTATTTGATTTTCCAGGCAGACTAAGCCTCTGACTTTTGCCGACTGTATTGGAGATGAGCTGCCTGTGGGATGGGAGGAGGCCTACGACCCCCACATTGGAGCCTTTTATGTCGACCACAATACCAGTAAGTTGAGCAAGATTCAGCCCACCTCACGCATGCGCAGGAGTATAGAGTGTCTGTCTGATATGTGATTCTGTGGGTTTAAAAAGATTAAGTGTCATATTTAAAATTGACACAAATGACCGAGTTCATTCAGTGGCCCTCATTCATGAAAAATGACTAGAACAAATTTCTTTGTAAATAATTTGTTACAAATGCCCAGTATATTTGGACACACCTATTTAAAAGTGTTGTTTTAGTATTATTTTTACACAATTATAGAATTCATTAATATTTTGAATTAGTTTTTTTATATTTTCAGTTTTAATTTTTGTTGAAGTTTTAATGGTTAAAAGTCATTGCAAAAATGGCTCAGAAAAGTAAAGTTAGTTCTGAGAAAATAACCATTTGTTTGCAGATGCCACTTGATTTGATATTTAATTTCTTATGTAATAAATTTATACATTACGCTTGGCTAAATGTGACTTATTTTTTGTGAAAAATGGTTTAATCCTTTAAATATGCTGCACAAATCAGATTTAATGTGGAATGTTCCTGATAATCTGAGAAGCACAGAGCTGAATTCATTGCGTAACCCTGCTGCTGGACGTAACCGCATCAGAAAATACTCCTCTTAAAGTCTGAAAGTTCAAGTATTTGAAATTGGGAAATATGACTTTCCTGCGCTGCACAAAAACAATGCCTAAACCCAAACGTAAATCTTTTGTGGTGGTTGAAAACTCATAAAAAAGGTTAAGAAGAAATATATATATTTTTTTGTAAAATAATATTGTGCAAATGGTACAAAAGCAGCATCTCTGACAAACCATTAAACCGCTTGGTTGGTTCAAGGTGAATTGGTCAGGCTGTAATCTCTAGGTTTTCGTTGATAAACAGATTAATCTCTCAAATACTGTCAAGAAAGAAATATTGCAAGTTGTTCTCCTTGGTGTACTATACAACGTTTGGTGCTTTTAAATTGATCAAAAGTAACAGTAAAGACATTATAACGTTACAACAATGTCTATTTAAAATAAATGCTGTTTGATTAAACTTTTTGTTAATCAAAGAAACCTGAAAAATTTATCATTTTACACAATTTCCATTTTTCAGGGATTTTACAGTGCAATAACTATTTTATACTAACTATGCATCATAATTGTACAATGTAATTAATTTTTTTTATGTATTAGGATTAAGACATTTTGAAATTGCATTTGAAGTAATAGAGTTTTCCTTAATCAGTAATTAGGAAATGATCTTATCAGTAGGTGCCTGAGTCAGGAGTATAGTAGGTAATTTGGGGCAAACATAATAAATATTTTTATATAATAAATGTCAACTCGAAGCTTATTTATTGATTTTTTTTTTTTTTTGTTCAAAATATTGTTATCTGATGCCTTTGGTTAGCATCTTGATTAGCATCCTTCCATCAGGTTAGTGATAAACCTCCTACCCTAGGCTCTTTAAATTTACTCTAAAATCTCCACAAGCTCTTTCTTTTTAATTGATTAGTCTAGCTAGCGAGTGCCAACAGCACTCTCCACTGAAGCACTGAAGTTCAGCCAGACTACTTTGCTAGCATTAGCGAACGCCTGCTAATAAAAGTTTTAGCGTCGCTGTTTTTGGCCAAGTGAGTGTCCCCATTGCTCTACGGTGATCCAAAGCGCTGGGCTTGGAGAGCCATAGTGTGTTGCCTCAGAAACCTCCAGGCGATGGGTCAGCAGGACCTGTGGAATGCCCGGCTTGGGTTTCCGGCTATTGTGCTCGGCCAGCACACTGGAGGTGAATAGCCCAACATTCCTCTGATGCCCCCCCACCCCACCCCACACACACATGCTTGTGCCACGCTCGAACTCTCAGTGATATGCTGGAGTGATATCCCACAGAAAATAGGCATGAAGTGTGGAGGTCCAACAACCCACTGTCTTCCTTGTGATTGTCCATTGACTGAAAGTTGGATTCCCTATTTGATTTTCCAGGCAGACTAAGCCTCTGACTTTTGCCGACTGTATTGGAGATGAGCTGCCTGTGGGATGGGAGGAGGCCTACGACCCCCACATTGGAGCCTTTTATGTCGACCACAATACCAGTAAGTTGAGCAAGATTCAGCCCACCTCACGCATGCGCAGGAGTATAGAGTGTCTGTCTGATATGTGATTCTGTGGGTTTAAAAAGATTAAGTGTCATATTTAAAATTGACACAAATGACCGAGTTCATTCAGTGGCCCTCATTCATGAAGCACGACTAGAACAAATTTCTTTGTAAATAATTTGTTGCAAATGGGCAATTTTTTGCTATTCTAACTATTTTAAATGAAAAATTTGGACACACCTATCTAAGTGTGGTTTTAGTATTAATTATACACAATTATAGAATGTATTAATATTGTGAATTAGCTTTTCAGTTTTAGTTTTTGTTGAAGTTTTAATTTTATGTGATTTTATTGTTTAGTTTTTCTTTTTTTTTTAAGTTTCTATTTAGCTTTATATTAGTTTTAGTAATTTACCTCAATTTAAGTTTATTTTATTTCAGTTAGTTGCCAAGAGAGCATTTCTAGTTTTCTTCAAGTTTTTGTTTGTTTGTTTTTTGTTTATTTCAGCTTTACTTCATTTATTGAAAATGATTGTTTTTTTGTTTTTTTTTTTGTTTATAACTTTATTTGAAAAAGGACCATGTACAATTTTAACATAAATGTTTCCATTTCATGCATTGCACCGAATTTAGCCAATGGCTAGTTTTCATCCGCGGTCCTTAGTTATTATTGTTCATGGTTTTAGTTAACAATAATGCATCTGACGAACACATTTTTTATTTTTTTGGAAACTGTAAACATTTTCAGGATTCTTTGAGGAAAAAGAAAGTTAAAAGAACAGCATTTATTTGAAATAGAAATCTTAGCAGCGAAAACTGTTTTCAACAATAATAATAAGAAATGTTTCTTGAGCACCAAATCAGTACCCTATATTAGAATGATTTCTGAAGGATCATGTGACACTGAAAGCTGGAGCAATGATGCAGAAATTTCAGCTTTTCCATTACAGGAATAAATTACACTAAAATATAAACACACAAAAAAAAAAAACAGAAAACATTGCTTTCATTGCATCACTGTTGTTATATTTTTAATCAAATAAATGCCGACTTGGTGAGCATGAGTGACTTCTTTTAAAAACATCACACACTTTTGAACATTAGTGTATTTATAATTTGAATTACATTTAAACAATTTGAAACATTAAAAAAATCATAATGATTCCAAACTTTTTACTGGTAGTGTATGTATTCCATTAATTTCAAGATATTTTTTATCTGTCCTTTCCACAGAGAGCACCCAGTTGGAGGATCCGCGGGCCCAGTGGCAGCGGGAGCAGGAGCTCATGTTGCGGGATTATCTGAATGTGGTTCAGGAAGCGTTGAGCGCCCAAAAGGACATCTACCAGGTCAAAGAACAGCGACTTCACCTGGCCCAGCAGGAATATCGGCAGCTAAATGATGCTTGGCGGGACAAGTCGTCCTCAAAGACTAGCTGTAAGACTTGCGACTCTATACATGTGTCTGTCACTTAAAGATCGTTCTTATTTATGTGCTACTTGACACTGATTCTTGAGACATGGGATAAAAACAGGCTATAAACATGTTTGTGTTTTAAGGAATTAATCTGTTTAACATGTTTAGAATTCTTCTTCTTTCACATTGTCGTAAAATTTGTCATGCACTATAGGTCAACAATGTGAAAAAATTAATAAATATTATAAATAGTGCTGTCAAAATTAGCGTGTTAATGCATGCGTTTAATGTTTCCAGTTTAACGGTGTTAAAAATATTTAACGCAGTTAACGCAGGGGCGGAGCTCGGGTTGGCCACCCCACTCACAACTGCTGATTCTGTTTCTTTTTTCTTGACAAGAATTGCGTTTGTTTAGATGCAGAATGTCTTTTACGACCACATCAAAGGAGAGCCTTTTCAGACACGCACTCCAACTTTGGCTCAGCGCCAGGCGCTAGTCAAACAAGCGCGGAAAATGTACAGGCAGGGCCTAAAATTAACACTCGCCAAGCGCCAAATGCGAGTAAAAATGTTGGCGAGTATATGTAACAGTGTCAGTCGCCAGTTGGCGGGTAAAACTTTTACGAAATATAACAATGCAATGTAGTGAGAACAACAGCCAGATTTTAAAGAGATTTGCTGTTTCTGACGTAAGCAAATAAAATAATCTTTTCCAAAGACAAGATCATCGTGATTAGCTATTCTGTCATAAGCGACAAGAGCGAATCAAATAATAGGATACAAATGGGCTGATAGGGTCAGAGCAGTGTGATGGCCAGCGTGTCCCTAAACACGGTTCTAATAACTTTTACCTGAGAAGATATTGCTGCTTCATTTCTGAACATTAACTTTTCCCTTCTTTATTCTTCATCATAACCCGAGAATGTGGCGACACATACCTGGGGTTACGCCGCTTAAACGGTGCAGTGAAGTATGCTATAGTTTGAAATTTTGCTCATTCGGCTGTACACATACGCTGAGCTGCTTTAGACAGCGCACCAGTAGCGCTTAAATGGACGAAAGCACACACAATTATGTCAAAATACGCGGTTTTGGCGAGTTACCTCGTAAACGTAGTCTTAAATGAATTATAAAGTCCTAAATGACCGTAAAGAGTTTGGAGAAAATAGGATATGTGTCAGATCCGCGTCATTTGCATCAGGTTTTAAAGAGGCAGCGCTGCTTTTAAAGTAAAACCTGTTGAAGTCTGTCATTGATGTAAATCAAAGAACAAAAGAAAAAGAGAAATCACTCAACTGCTGTAGTAGCTGATTAACTTTTGTAGCTTGAATAAAGTTTAATCTGTATTGTTTATGGATATACAATTTATGGTTTGTTAATAAATATTTAATATTTCAGAGCCTATTAAATGTTAAAAATAATGGCTTTCAATTATACTGTAATGTTGAATGGCTATAACTAATAGGTAAAATTGGAAAATGCATTTAATAGAGACACCAGCAGCAGTATTGGTATCAATACTTAATTAATAATAGGCTACTTAGTAAAACTTTTGTAGCTTGAATAAAGTTTAATCTGTATTGTTTATGGATATACAATTTATGGTTTGTTAATAAATATTTAATATTTCAGAGCCTATTAAATGTTAAAAATAATGGCTTTCAATTATACTGTAATGTTGAATGGCTATAACTAATAGGTAAAATTGGAAAATGCAATAGAGACACCAGTAGCAGTATTGGTATCAATACTTAATTAATAATAGGCTACTTAGTAAAAAGATGCCATTAAAACATATTTAAAATATACTATCTTTGTTGTTTCTACATTACTTTGGAGGTTCAATGTGAAATTATGACAATACAAATATGCAATTAATCATGATTAATTACAGAAAAATATGATTAATATTTTTTTTTAATCGATTGACAGACAGCACTAATGTTAACCTTTTATAGATTGTAGATTTCAATTTAATTTCTAATTTTATAGGTCCCCCCAGAAAGAGATCGGGACGGCCCTCACCCCCTTGGCCCCCTTCAAATTTTCAGTTCGATAATCCGGCCCTCAAATTAAGCTAATTGAATAGCCCTGCTCTAATCTGTTAACATGAATGCAGAAAAAAATACGCACTGCAAACTGAGTACGTGTGAAACAGGTGTAACACGATGGCCTGCTCCATTTGCCGAAAACATGCAAAGTACAAGAATCTCAACGTTTTTTTAGGGACAAAAAAAAAAAAGAGATAAATCAATAAATCTGTTTGTTGTTTTTTCTTGTAAGTAAAGTAAAGGACAAATTAAAACATTGTAAATATGTTTAGTCATTGTAGTAGTAATAGGGTGACCAGATTTCGCATGGTGTAATACGGGATGGGGGAGGGGGCATATCCCCCCATTTTATGATATCTAAAGGATATTCATACATATATTATACAACAGTTCGTTCTGGTTCTCAAATCTGATTGGTTGAGAACCGTGAGATATTGTACTGGTATCGCTACAGGAACACCCTTTCACGATTTTGTATCACTCCGCTTGTTCTAGCCGGGTCTGTTTTTTTTTTTTATTATTTACT